TTTCTGTTAAAAGGACCACTCTAGGCACCCAGACCACTTCAGCTTAATGAAGTGGTCTGGGTGCCAGGTCCAGCTAGGGTTAACCCATTTTTTAATAAACATAGCAGTTTCAGAGAAACTGCTATGTTTATTAATGGGTTAAGCCTTCCCCCTAATCCTCTAGTGGCTGTCTCATTGACAGCCACTAGAGGCGCTTGCGTGCTTCTCACTGTGATTTTCACAGTGAGAGCACGCCAGCGTCCATAGGAAAGCATTATGAATGCTTTCCTGCGGTGAATGCAAGGCTCTTGCCGCGGCGCATGGGTCGGGCGTAACGGAGGAGGAGAGGAGGCAGAGAGCTCTCCGCCCAGCGCTGGAAAAAGGTAAGTTTAAACCCCTTTCCAGAGCCGGGCGGGAGCGGGTCCCTGAGGGTGGGGGCACCCTCAGGGCACTATAGTGCCAGGAAAACGAGTATGTTTTCCTGGCACTATAGTGGTCCTTTAATGCAAGTTTGTATATTAGTTGCTAGATACTGTTAACAGCTTCTTAAAAATTATTATTATTTGAGTAAAATGTTGCCAAATACATTTTACATCTCATACTGTGAGATGTAAAATTAATTAGTCTCTGTAAACATCATTAATCAATATGTGAAAAACACGGCCTCTGCGTTTTTTTACTAAATAAATCTGAGAAAGAATTAATGCCTACAGCAGCATCTAAAGTTTCTCCTGAGAGTTTTATTCTGACTTGACCAGTTCCTGTCGGACTGGTTATTATAATTCTTTCCGGTAAGATGATGAATCCTTTTCTCTAGAAAGTGACACATTATCCACTGAAGTTCCATCTCCTCTGAGTTATTTCAGAGGCTAAAATAGATGAGGTGTCTGGTCAGAATGTCATGCCCTTTGACATGTGAAACCATTCATCAAATTATCCATCTGATTTGATACAGTTGAGACCAGACTACATTTAACCCTTTGGAAGATACTTTTTACAAGATAACCTCAGTTTAAAGGAACACTTCATACACCTAAAGCACTTCAGCTTGCTGAAGTACTTTAGGTGTCTGGAGTCTGTCAAATTTGTGATCGTTTATAAAAGTGCTGATTTCAATTGAAATCAACACTTATAATTGGGTGCAGAAACACCTCACTGTCACTCAGCCAGGGAGGTTGTTTTCAGCCTCAGTTAGCTCTGCAGAGCAAAGGGAAGCAGCCGGCGCTCTATGCTAGAGCTTGTCTGCCTCCCCCACTTCTAAACGAGCCATATTACAGCTCATTAAGAAGCAAAGCCACAATTGCACTAGCAGCTGCAGGAGAGAGGCTTCTCTTGCTGAAAATAATACATGCTGGTTTTCTTTGAGGATATACTTACTAAAATGTTAAAACAATAACATTTTCAAGAGAGTGTTCCTTTAATGTTGTAACTGTGTCAAATCTAACCTCAGCCAAGTAGATTGCTGTTTGAGTAAATTTCCAATCTTTACTCATTCCTAAAATATTTCTGTTTCAAATGTAGTGTTTTGATTTTCCTTCTTTGATGAAGAGCAGACAATAAAGTGTCAGATTAAATGAATGTGAGAAGTTGCATGATAAACAATGTTTAATTAGGGATGTTTGTTTTTCAAAAAGACGAACATTTCATTTCTTATATCAAACAATCTTGCATTTGGACCAAACTTTATTTAAAACGTTATTTATGTTTATTTTTTCCAGCCCGAGTCAGGTTCTAGTCCAATGCTTCTCGTTGGCTATGAAAATGGGTCAGTGGCCCTTTGGAATGTCTTGGAACACAGGCTGGTCAGCCAGATCACTTGCCACACGGATCCCATTATGAGTCTTGACTTTGACTGCAAGCATTCCAGAGGGGTTTCAGGATCTGCAGAAAATGTACTAAGTGTATGGAACATTGATGAACAGCAGAACATTAAGGTAAGAAGATAATCTCTACCAGTCTACTCATCCAAGTTTTTATCAGTTGTCTACCAGCTAGAAGAATAATTAGTTAGTTTTCCTAAAGAAAATACAGATAGGTGTGGTTTTTTTTTGTTTTTTTTTCTATCTGATGTTGCCATTTTCTGTTGGTTTTTTTTCTCTTTTTACTTTCGTTATTTAATTAAATGACAAGATATTCAAGCAGTTATGGACTGCTACCTTATAATTACTCTTCCCAATTACCTGTTCTAGTTGTGATTCTTTTGTTACATTTTCTTGAGGTTCTTGGTGTGAAATAAATACCTTTATTTTAAAGATACCATTATTCCAATATATATGTTTGTACATACACATTTTGGCATACATGTGATTTTTATTTAAAATAAATAAATAAATGAAAGCATGACTTTTTACAATTCTTTTTATTATATATGTGTAGGCTTCTGCTAAGCTGTAATGCAGTCATGAAATCTGAGCGCTTCCATGAGCCTTATCTCATGAGGTTTTTTTTAATGGTCTTCAGCAAACATTATTAAAATAAATATATGGTCCTCCCACATAAATGATAGTCAGAGTGAAGGATTTCAGTTTTTCGTTCCCACTTTTCCACTAGTAATTGAAAGCAGCTGTTTGAATGGTACATTCCACGTACCTGAGCTAATGACATCACATGAAAATAAACACAGTGACACGTTATGTTAGGTTCCAACAAGCACCCTGCTGGACCTTTTAGGCCCGGGTTTCAGAATTTCAACATAATCAAAGCCCAAAATGTGTGCTTAATGGTACTAATTGCACAAAGCATGTAGAAGATACTGTGTTATATGGGAGACTATTAGTGTCATTCGAACATTTCTTTATCCGGAATTATTTTGCAGTGATAAGAAACACATTGACAATGAGCCCACCTGTCACACACACCATGTGCAGTTGTTCCTTTACTGAGTTGGTCTTTGTTTGTTTTTTTCCTTGTGCTTTTCTAAGGGGCAAAGTAAGAATTGCAGTGCAGTTCTACACAGTATTAGCTTTAATGTTCCATTATTTTCATAAAATAAAACATAAACAGATTAAAGGTGGCACTATGGCAGTAACATTTTAATACAATATTAAGCAGTTTGCATAAACATGGGGGGAAAAGATGAGGTTTCTTGATGTTTGCAAAAATTTGGTCAGATTTTCTATTAAAAAAATTTTTTTTAATTCTTTGTTTCATTCCACATTGGTGTCTTACACGAATGAGATATCAAGTTATGAGCACTGACATATATAAAACTATCAAAATCATCATCAATAGCAGGAAAATATGTGAAATTAAACATTTCTTTATACGTAGTGCAATAGAAGAAAAACAGATTAAAATAAGTTTGCTAACACTTTCATCCATTTGTGCATTGTGCTCTGTCTGCCCTTTTGCCATCTTTGCAAATGCTTTATGTACAAATTAACGATTATGAGTAATACATTGTAGCCTATGTGTTTACTCATATTACTTGGTTCTTTTTCTTAAGGTTTACAAAACTCAGGTGATCGTCAATCCAGGAATAGCTGATATTGCCCTACGTCCAGATAGAAAGATCTTGGCTACAGCAGGCTGGGACCACCGAATCCGAATATTTGGTTGGAAGACTATGAAGCCTTTAGCTGTCCTACAATATCACAAGGCAACTGTGCATTCAGTGTCATTTTCAGACCACATCAGTCCTGAAGACAGACTGCTTGCTGCTGGTTCTAAAGACCAACGCATCAGTGTATGGTCAATATATTAGCAAACGTGGAAAAAATGGCGCATGATTTGAAGGGATCTTCAGAAAACTATGCTTAATGAATACAACGAGAACACATGAACATCTGCCTTATATTAAACAACCACCTGTTTTTTATTACTTCAATTTAGCAATGCTAAAAACAAATAAATTGCCACATTGGTAAACTAATTAAATTACTCCTAAGTGTTGTATATATTTTTTTTCCCATATATGATTTTTATTGAAATGTCATTGAAGTGGTACATCATAGTATGAATTCGGGTTAAAACAACATGCATTGATTTTATCTCAGTTGTCTTTAACATTCAGGTACAGTAATTGCCCATGAATTGGCAATGTGCAGTCCACAATTCGACATTTCAGTTTTTCTTATAACTTGAGGGATAAAGGGGAGGGATACAGAAAGGAAGAAAGGGGGGGGAGGGGGCGCATGAGTTCATTTATGTACAATCTGGTAGTTTTGCATATTTTGTACCTTGAGTTGTGGATGTAATGTCATATTATTAATAATAATAAAGCCTGTGATAGTGACCCACACTTCGTTTTTAACCTCCTTGCCCTCTTATTTGGTTAACCAGCTACCCCATTCTTCCTCGAATTTTTCCCCTCGGCCTTGAAGTCGGTAGGCCATACGCTCATAGGAGCTGATTACATCTAGCTTTTGTGTAACTGCCAGTATAGTGGGGGGGGACTTGTTTTTCCATAGTGAGGCTATATTGACCTTCGCTATTGTGAGTATGTTGATGATTACTTTCCTATGGGGTTGTCTCCTCAAGTCGGGTATCATGTGTAATAGGCATTGTGATGGTGTGCATGATAGACTCAGTTGCGTAGTTTTTAATATTAGTGACCGCACTTGTGCCCAGTAAGTGTGCAATCCCGGGCAGTCCCAGAAGATGTGTAGCATTGACCCTTTCGCTCGCTCGCATCTCCAGCACATTTCCGATGAACTTTGGTACATTTTAGCCAGCCTCTGTGGTACTAAGTACCACCGCATGATTATTTTACAGTATGCCTCCCACAGTGTTAGGCTTCTGGATGCTTTTTTTGTCCATGTCATGGCCTCATACCATTGGTCCATGGGAAATGTCGTTCCCAATTCTTTTTCCCACTGATGCATATAAGCTAGTTTTGTTGGAGATGAGGATGGGCCACCTAGGATGGCGTTGTAACAGAGAGACAAAGCTTTTGATTTTGTCGGTGATAGAGCACGATTAAGAGTCAGGGTTGCTATTTGGGTGTTTGCCCGGAGTTTTATTAGTTTGGTTGCCAATATATTTTTTACCCTTAGGTATAGGAATAGGTCTCTTGAGTCTAGAGAGTACTGCCTTTGGAGATTAGGGTATGGTTTGACATTGTCTTTCTCCAGTAGGTCCTGCACTGAGCGTATCCCTTTATCTGTCCAAGTTTTTACAGTTAGGTCTGGGGATAAAGCCGACAAGGCTTCTATCGGGGCCTCTCTCAGCAACTTATCGGCGGGCAGTAGTGATGGGCTCCAAGCTACCCAGGAGGCCAGTAAGAACCGCGTGCAGTGTAGTGGCCCTATACTCGTCACTCTGGGGAAGCTGTTGACCCACAAGGTGTGCGTTATGTCATAAGGACGCAGACATGCGTTTTCTAGGGGCAGCCATATAGGGTGATGTTTTGTCAATGTAGGGTTTAAGAGTCGTATCCCCTGTGCCAGTACTGTAGCTCTGTAGTACGCCCTGATGTCTGGAAGTCCCAGGCCCCCTTTTATGTAGGGGAGTCCCAGTTTGTTCCTTGCTACTCTGGGTGGTTTTTTCTTCCAGACATGAGCGTTTATCACGCTTTGGAATCTGTTCACCAATTTGTTTGGTAGCGCTATGGGTATCGTGCGAAAGAGGTAGATAATTAATGGAAGAGTCATCATCTTTAGCGAGTTTATTCGTCCTAACCATGAGACGTCTAAAGTTGCCCATTTTCCCAAGTCCCGGTCGATGCGTCTTAGTAGCGGTATATGATTCTCCTGGGGGAGGGCTGGAACTGTTTTCGTCAATTGTATACCCAGGTAATTCAATGATTTGTCTCGCCAGTCAAATGGATATAGGCCTTTTAGGTCCGCGAGTATGTCGTGTGGGAGGTTGATTGGCAACGCCTGTGTCTTAGTGGAGTTGTTTTTGTAATAGGATATTAAACCGTACGCTCTCAGCAACTCTAGTAAGTGTGGGATAGATGATTTCGGCTCTACGAGAAAGAGGAGAATATCGTCGGCGAATAGGGATATCTTTTTGGGACCTCCGGGCGTGTCTAGACCCTTGATTTGGGGGTTTTCTTTGATGAGTCGCAGTAGGGGTTCTAGGCATAGTATAAAAATGAGCGGGGACAAGGGGCATCCCTGACGTGTGCCATTCTGGATGTTAAAGGGCTTTGAGAGAAAACCCGTGCTGAATACTTTGGCTGACGGGGTTTTGTAGAGGGCCAGAATGCTGGAGATGAAGGGTACTGGGAAGCCCATTGTAGTTAGTATCTGTTCCATATACCCCCAGTGTAAGCGGTCGAACGCTTTTTCCGCGTCCAAAGCTAATATCAGTCCTTTTTGTGAGGTGCGGTTTGCCCAATCAATTAGGTTGATAAAGTGTCTGGTGTTATCCCCTATTTGTCTCCCCGGCACGAAGCCGGCTTGTTCATCTGAAATTAGATATGTTAGTAGCGGTTTTATTCTACCTGCTATCAGTTTGGCATAAAGTTTTAGATCCGCATTAAGTAGGGAGATGGGCCTGAGATTAGCACATTGTGTTGGTGGCTTGTTGGGTTTGGGAAGTGTCACTATGAATGCCTCTAGCATGTCAGTCGGGAGATGCCCTGTTTGTTTGATTGTGTTGAAGAGCCGTGTGAGGTGCGGTGTCAATTGGTTAATTAATTTAATGTAATAGTAGTTAGGCAGGCCGTCAGGACCTGGTGATTTATGCGCGGGCAATGATTTTATCGCTAACCTAACTTCGTCTTCTGTGAACGGTTTCTCAAGGTCTTCTTGTTGGTCCGAGGTTACATGTGGGAGTTGTACTTGCCCTAAGAATTTAGTTATGTCATCATCTAAGGGTTGGTATGTTTCAGGGTCTTTGTGTAGCTGATACAGGGATTCGTAATAATCTGCTAGTGTATTGACGATGTCTTGGGGATTGTATAGCTTGTCCCCGTCTTTTGAGATGATATATGGGATTTTAGTTTGGAGATGGCGCTGTTTAAGTTTGTTAGCTAGTAGTCTACCTGCTTTGTTCCCTGTCGTGTAGTAGGTTTGTTTTAGGTATCTCAATTTTTTTTCTGTTTCTTGCAACTGAAGGGAGTGTAGGCTGGCTTTTAGTTTGCCCAGAGCGACATGATGCGTTTTGGCCGGATTGCTCTTGTGTAGAGCTTCCAGGACGGAGATTTCCCTTTCTACTGATTCCTGATTGTTTTTACGTGTTCTCTTCGTTAAGGAGCCCAATTGTATTAGGTTTCCTCTCATTACTGCCTTGTGTGCCATCCACTGTGTGGTAATTGATGTTGTGCACTGTGTGTGTTCAGCAAAGTATTGTGTGGTTTGTTCTATTATCTTTGCCAGGGATGTCGGGTTATCTAACAGGGATTCATTGAGGCGCCAAGTGCCTCTGCCTCTGGCAGGATGGGGTGTTTTCAAGTCGACCAGTACTGGTGCATGGTCCGACCAATTGATGGATCCAATTTGTGTTTTTTTCACCAGCGGTAATGTTCGCTTGTCAAGGAGGCATAAATCTATCCTAGAGTAGGTCATATGAATTTGGGAATAGTATGTGTAGTCCCTCATGCGAGGATGGATATTTCGCCACACGTCATAGTAGTCGTGTGTGTGCATCAATTTTGTCAAATGGTTGCCTAAAGATATTGAGGTATTTTTGGGTGGTTTGTGTTGGGCCCTGCTCATGTCTAGAAGTGGATCAGGGGAGCAATTAAAATCTCCGCAGATTATAGTATGCCCCACTTTTAGTTGGTCAATTTTCTGAAACGCTTTGTTAAGGAACGATTTTTGTGTGTCATTTGGTGCATATAGTGAAATTACTGTCATTTGGATGCCATTTAGGGTTCCCACTACAATCAGAAGCCTCCCATCTCCACTTGCATATTCTTTGGACATTGTGAATACCCAATCGTCGTGGAAATATATCGAAACTCCCCTCTTTTTGGAGTTGGCCTGTGCATGAAAGGCTTGGGAGTAGTGCTTAAATGTAAATTTAGGGGGGTTGCATGCGCAGAAGTGGGTTTCTTGGAGACAGGCAATGGTTGCTTTGGAGGTGGTTATTTCGTGCATCATAAGTCTACGTTTATGGGGACTATTTAGGCCTTTTACATTCATAGAGAAGATTTTTAGAGATTCATCCATTATCTCGGTGGGTTGTTTTGCTTAGTATGTTCGTTGATTTACAAGGGGCGCCAGCGTTATCAGTGAACTCAGAGGGAAGGTATAGGAGAGAAAACAGAATGGGGAATAACAGCATATATGATAAAACAAAATATTTACATAGCGCCTCCAGTGGAACTGGCGCTCTCCGCGGACGAGTCGCAGGTCCGGTGTTGTATATATTTTAGCAGGCTAATGGGCGAATCAGTGTTCTACTTATTCTGCATTAAAAGAATATAGTAGTTGGTATATAGCTAGGATTTATTTGCTTGGGAGAGCCACTGAAACGATACTCTTACTCTCTGCACTATAGCTACTCTTACAATCTAGTACAAAACCAATTACAAACAAATTGATCAGGGTCCTCATCGACCTATCATTCCTGTGACATTTTGTAATTGTCTTAATTGTTGTTCAATGTCCCTCTTTATAATATTGTAAAGCACTGCAGAATAAGTTGACACTATATAAATGCCAATAATAATAATATAAGTTGTTTTCCATCTTTTACTGCCTTTTTTTTTCTTCTTCAAAATGGTGTTTCAAAGAATCCTATGTTGCACATCACTGACCAGTGCTGAAGAAAGTTTTTTTTGTTTTTTTTTTATATATAATTCTTTATTTTGATTGTGCAGATATTGAACATGTAATTTGCACTGCCACAACAGCTGGTGCAAACAGATATGTATTCACATGGCATTAAAGACATTGCACTTTTTTCTTTTATATAGAGAAAAAAACAGGATTATATCATAAGCTTAAACTGCGTCATGTCATGTAGAGTAGCTGCACATTTTGATATAACTACAATCAGGCTAATCAGTTGTGTCTAACAACGAAAAAAGGTCAAGACAGGCTAGCACACTGCTTTTAACTAGATATGTTTATAGTTGGTGTAATGACTTGTATAACTTATCAGGAAAGTATGTGTGGTCATCTTTAGCGCGTGCCTCACGTGGGTGCTATGTGTATTCATCCTATGTACTTAAGTTACTCCTCCTTCCTCCCCCCCTTCCCCCCCGGTCTCTTGAGTAGTCAAGTAACATCCATAGATGCAGTGTAGCAGGAGTGAAACATGTATGAGTATTCTGTGTAAGAGCATGAAGGTGTAAGGCAGTAGGTACTGTGCCTGAGGTAAAGTCCCGGTCTTCGAGTCAGCCAATGCCTTGCGGGGGTTGTTTGCAGTCCTTCCGTGTGGATCGTTGTGTCCATTTTCCATTATCTCGAATATAGGGGAGTGTAAAGTCCCGGTGCAGAGAGGGTTTAAGGTCTGTGGAGTGACCCAAGTCCCCCCTGCAGTTTCCTGTATGTGGTATGTTTCTTGGTCCAATCACGGTCTAGGAGGGCCTGCTGGGTGCTGTTGCCTTTTTGGGCTTCATGCTCTGCCTGCCCCCCGGTCTGTTCGGGCTATTTGCACATCTCTTGGTTTTCTGCCGGTCCGCTGCTCGTGAGTGTGGGGGTCTTAGGCACTGTCTTTTAGGCAGGTTCGTAAGCGTGGTCCCGTGTTGGTCTCGTGTTGGTGTTGGCCTGTCCCGGCTGTAGTGGTGGGGGGGTTACTATTCCCCTTCACTTGGCTATCCGTCGTGACCAGTGTGCCAGATCGTTGGGATCAGTCTCCGACACCGGAGGGTTCATGCGGGCCTCTAGTTTCCTCCAGAAGGCGTTGAAGATTTTATTTAAGCGGAGCTCCATCTCCAGCCTTGCACCACCTGGGTCAGCGTTACAGGAGGCATGCACCTTTTTGTGAGTCCTGCTGGTAGTAGTCTTGGGACTCCTAAATAGAGTTGCTTGTTCACTGCTGTGCCGGGGGATCATGTTGGGGTAGACCAGGATAACCCCCGCCAGTCTATTGGGGGGGAACGAGGGCTCTGGTTCAGGTTCTCGGCATGTCGCAGCAGCAGGAGAGCGGCCGTCCCTCCAGTGCTTACCGTGCTTGTAGGTCGAGTGAATACTGCATGGGATGTCGCTTGGGTTGTGTCATCTTGTTCACCTCGATGTCCCCCTTCACCTGGTGGCCTTATTGTGTAGAGTAGTAGCCTTTTTGGTGGCGAAAGTTAGTGTTTTCTGCTTCATGTAGCAGGAGCTGCTGAGGCTAGCGTCCTCTCAGCTCTGCGGTCAGGCCCCGCCCCCCCAAGAATTATGTATGTTATACAAGGAAGCAATGTTCGATTGCCTATTTACTGTTTGGTTTTTATACTTCCTACATTGTACAATAATTTGTACTTTCATTTTTTTTGCTTAGACTTAGACTACCCAGTAAATATAAAAAAAAAACTAATAAAAAACCCTGCAACGTTTTATTTCTTATTTTTTATTTCATTTTCCATACAAAGAACATGAAGCTTAAAGTGACTAAAAGGAGAAATACATATCATCACAAAAAAACAAAACAAAGCAGATGAGTGAAAGTGAATTTGCAAATATCTTCAGTAGCTCATAGAAATCATACAATTTATTGTCTACACTGTAATACATATGAATAAAGAGAGGCAAGTATCACTGTCACCAATAAGAAATATCAATAGAGGATTCATTAAGGTTTGATAACTTCTCTTACCATTCCCAAGGCATAGGGTACATACCTCTCACAATGTGCCTAAATATAGCCGTCCTCAAGTGTACTCCAGTTGTTTGAAGACTCTGTGAGCCATAGCACTGACTAACCAGGAGAGAGCAAACATCAATCACCTGACTGTTTTTAGCTTGATAAGCAATTGATGGTGCTTTAACACATTTTTGAGAAGAGAAGAAAAAAATACTTTAAAAAAGAAAAGTACATGACATTTTTAAATGGAACTATATACTGTGAAATGTTTTTTTTTTTTTAGTACAGCTATCTCTAATGTGGAAACCTGCCTCAATATTGTTTTTGTATGTTTTCCTTTGAATGTAATCAGTTGTTTGAGATGGGATCTAGTTGTAAATGTTCCTTTGGGTCAGTACCTTTCATGTGTACTTCTAATATATAATGGACTATTTTCAGCACACTGTGAAGTCCAATGCCTGCAAATTCCTGTATATAAGTTGTTTGCATGTAAAACATCAGTACTTTGGGCAAAGTGCCAATCAACCTGAGAGCGGTTCTCAGACCATATGGCAACATCAATATACCTTTGTGCAATGCAAGAGTGCTGAGCTACTGCGCTCCTAAAAACATTTGGCAGGTCTTGCTGTGTTTATAAATGTTATCACTCTTCAATTAAATAGTTGTGCTGGATGTGGCTTATTTGACTTTCTGTTAAATACAACTTTTGAACACCCTCTCTTCCAATGCGTAGGATTTACTGCTATTAAATTCAGACGTTCTATATCAGTCCTTGTACATACGTAACATTCCACATGATTTTGAGCTCTCGTAAATAGATAAAGTTGCCTATAGTTCTACATATAATAATTGAGATTATATGTAGTTTATGGGAGATTATACACTATAGACACAATGTGTTTGTTTGCATGTGTCTACATGTTAAAAAAAAAAAAAGCTGTGCATAAAATTTCCCTTATTCTATATTCACTTTTTTGCTACTGTACTTGATGGTTCTAAGAATGACATGTGAAGGCAATGAATGAACCAAAATGTGGATAATGTTTTGACAACATTGACTGGCTTGAATTTTTATTTTGGGTCGGTATTTACGGACACGCAGAAAATCTTATAAGTGTACTTTTCTCTTACTATAAAGTGGTGGAATTTTGTCACTTCTCCCTTTATTAGCGTGATAAAATCAGGGTGTGTAGCGTAAGGGCATATTCTTTGAATGTCTGTGTTTAGAGTGTATTTTTATAGCTGTCATTTGTAGGAAATATGCACCAGTGTTCTTTGTACATCATGCATGGAAAATCTTGCGGATAATACTTTGTTTTTGTTCTGTTTTTCTCTCCCGCTCACCCTTTGTCCCTTAGATTGTAAACTTGTTTAAAAGCTACCCTCGTCTCCTATAGTTCGTTAGTCCAAATGGTCCTGCTGTATTTACTTACTGTATCATCCACCAATTGTAAAGCACTGTGTGGTGTGTTGTCTTTTTGTAGATGATTACCATAACAACAGGAAAACTGCCCCTTCGTATAAAAATAATCCCACCCTGGCTTGATGGAAAGTCATTTGGATTAAGAGATGTAACACCAAATGAAGCGTTTTTATTTTAATTTGCTTCCTGGTGGTTTTCACTTTATTACCCTTTCAACTTGTGTGCATGCAATTAACTCTTTCTAAGTAACTCATCTCTAGCATTATACTCCCGTAATGACACCTACTGGTGCCCCTTTAATTGAGTGATTAAATGAGATAATGAACTTGGCAACACATTCTGCAATGTGGAATGATTCAATTACACTCACAGTTGATGACAAAAGGCAAGTGGCAACGTATAATCTGTTATTTACCATACAGTACCCCTTACAGTCTTGCATTGTGTTTCATCATGTCTATGTCAGTGTGGTAATTAAGAAAATGTTACCGTATTTAATATCTGGCAGAACTATTACCTATTTCTTCTTTAAAAAAAATTAAAATAACAATCATACAGACCAGTAATGGCTAACCTTGGCATCTAAAAACCTTTGCAAACTAAATTGCACATGGGTTCACTAAACATAATGAGAAATGCAGTTGGCAAACATCTGGAGTTAGTTTTCACTGTTATAGACTTACCCCATACAATGATTACCATTAAACATAAGTTATACAGTTATACAGCCACACAGATTTAACCTCTTCCCGACCATGGATGTACCAGCTACGTCCGACAAAAAATGTTTGTTATTGACCTCGGACATACCTGGGACGTCCATGGGACATATGCATTTACCTGATTGCTGGCAATCCCCCTGCCAGCGATCGCGATGTGGGGACTTGCCTTGCATCCCAGGCAGTCCCCTGCGGCTGATCCAGCCCCCTCCCTCGGACCATGTAATGGCGGGGTCCTCGCGATCATATGGCCGGAATTTGTCTGCAAAAAAGTTTAGAAAGTCAATAAAAGTTATTAAAAAGTTTAGTAAAGCTAATAAAAGTACTTAGGTCATCTATATATATATATATATATATATATATACAGGGAGTGCAGAATTATTAGGCAAATGAGTATTTTGACCACATCATCCTCTTTATGCATGTTGTCTTACTCCAAGCTGTATAGGCTCGAAAGCCTACTACCAATTAAGCATATTAGGTGATGTGCATCTCTGTAATGAGAAGGGGTGTGGTCTAATGACATCAACACCCTATATCAGGTGTGCATAATTATTAGGCAACTTCCTTTCCTTTGGCAAAATGGGTCAAAAGAAGGACTTGACAGGCTCAGAAAAGTCAAAAATAGTGAGATATCTTGCAGAGGGATGCAGCACTCTTAAAATTGCAAAGCTTCTGAAGCGTGATCATCGAACAATCAAGCGTTTCATTCAAAATAGTCAACAGGGTCGCAAGAAGCGTGTGGAAAAACCAAGGCGCAAAATAACTGCCCATGAACTGAGAAAAGTCAAGCGTGCAGCTGCCACGATGCCACTTGCCACCAGTTTGGCCATATTTCAGAGCTGCAACATCACTGGAGTGCCCAAAAGCACAAGGTGTGCAATACTCAGAGACATGGCCAAGGTAAGAAAGGCTGAAAGACGACCACCACTGAACAAGACACACAAGCTGAAACGTCAAGACTGGGCCAAGAAATATCTCAAGACTGATTTTTCTAAGGTTTTATGGACTGATGAAATGAGAGTGAGTCTTGATGGGCCAGATGGATGGGCCCGTGGCTGGATTGGTAAAGGGCAGAGAGCTCCAGTCCGACTCAGACGCCAGCAAGGTGGAGGTGGAGTACTGGTTTGGGCTGGTATCATCAAAGATGAGCTTGTGGGGCCTTTTCGGGTTGAGGATGGAGTCAAGCTCAACTCCCAGTCCTACTGCCAGTTCCTGGAAGACACCTTCTTCAAGCAGTGGTACAGGAAGAAGTCTGCATCCTTCAAGAAAAACATGATTTTCATGCAGGACAATGCTCCATCACACGCGTCCAAGTACTCCACAGCGTGGCTGGCAAGAAAGGGTATAAAAGAAGAAAATCTAATGACATGGCCTCCTTGTTCACCTGATCTGAACCCCATTGAGAACCTGTGGTCCATCATCAAATGTGAGATTTACAAGGAGGGAAAACAGTACACCTCTCTGAACAGTGTCTGGGAGGCTGTGGTTGCTGCTGCACGCAATGTTGATGGTGAACAGATCAAAACACTGACAGAATCCATGGATGGCAGGCTTTTGAGTGTCCTTGCAAAGAAAGGTGGCTATATTGGTCACTGATTTGTTTTTGTTTTGTTTTTGAATGTCAGAAATGTATATTTGTGAATGTTGAGATGTTATATTGGTTTCACTGGTAATAATAAATAATTGAAATGGGTATATATTTGTTTTTTGTTAAGTTGCCTAATAATTATGCACAGTAATAGTCACCTGCACACACAGATATCCCCCTAACATAGCTATAACTAAAAACAAACTAAAAACTACTTCCAAAAATATTCAGCTTTGATATTAATGAGTTTTTTGGGTTCATTGAGAACATGGTTGTTGTTCAATAATAAAATTAATCCTCAAAAATACAACTTGCCTAATAATTCTGCACTCCCTGTATATTCCAATCACCTGTTGAACCATGTGAAATATTTTCCTCCGCTTGAAAAACAAACTGCCAGCTTAATCTTACTAGATGTGTATCTAACGGGCTGTCTTTGTCAGTTTAAACATTCAATAGAATGCATAACATAGAGACTAGAAATTTACAGTATAGTTAGTGGAAGCTCGTGAAGTTATACGTTGCTCTTCAGAATTTGACTCTGCTCCCTGAATGATTGTGATCTGTCTGTTTAGCCCTATGTACTCAATCCCTGAACCATTAATAGATCATTACTTGTTCAACTCCATACACATATTGATAATGTATTTGGAAAACAACAGTAATGTAAAAGAGGCCTGATTTTACACCTGTTACTATTGCCAATGACAGTAGTAGCAGACAGGACTATAGACAGGCCTGTCTTTTACAGGGTCCAGGATCTGACGGCCCAATGCAAAGTCAATGGGTGACTTTTCAGAAATAGCATGTTCTAAGGGCTCTATACCCCAAAACCTTTTTTTTACTTTTTTTTCTAAGATACTCCAAAATCTTTACACATTTATCATGCAGATCACAATTGACCTTAATCAGTTGATTGGCCTTGGCAGTAGGGAGGTTGAGAACCCATCACTCTTAAGATCCTCTAAGTTGATCCAACGCATCTGCAGTGCCACTAATTGTTATGTCACAAGTTGTTTAAATGTGGAACACAACTGCAGATTATAAATGTCCTTATTTTTATTATAGAGAGTGAAATGAGAATCCTTTAATTAGGTTACTTTAAGCTTTAAGGCAGCGTGGCTTTTGCAGGTTGTTAGTTGAAGACATAAAGCATTAATAATTGTAATAGTATTTTAGTAGTAGCAGATTTTAGCAAGCAGGTAACAGTTCATTAGCAAAGTAAGAATTCAGAGATAGTATCAAATTGTATACTTATGATTGTTGGGAGTTGTCCTCCAAAGACAGGTTAGTTTGAGTCCGCAGGATGATTAAACATCAAACAGTCTGGTTTCCAATAATTAGAAAGAGAGCAGGTAAATCCAATACACGGTCCGTGGTCAAAGGGAGATGAGAAGGTAGGAATCCGTTTAAACAGTCCAAGGTTCGGTACACAGTATTAACGGAGAAGAGCTTAGCCGGCAATGTGATTGCGGAAATAACAACCAAAAATCACTAAGCAATTTTGAATCTGGCGCAGTCTCTCTATAAGGCTTGAGAGAGCCGCGTCAGAGAGGGGGCGGGGACGGTTCCGCATATCGGAAATGCCGGAACGGAGCTGAAAAGATAAGTCCTGACACTCATGTGAATTGTGACACATTGGAAATCCAGTGCCCCAACTATTCCTTATACTCCGAAACACATTCCTGCTAATTCCAATCATTCTTATCCAAAATTTCAGGCCTTGTAGTCCCTCAGGCTAGATTTACAAACAACTCTGGATCATATTACGTCTCTTCACATTCAACTGTATTATCACTGTACAATGTGCATACAAGGACAATGAAACACAGTTGGCCTCTGATCATAAATGCAGCAGTAATTAATTAAAAATGTACTCTG